TTTATTTGAAATCAATTTATCATGAAAAACTATGTTTGAATTTCTCAAATTTAAAATTTAAATTTTATAAACGACCTCATATGGAAAAACAACCAAAACGAAAGTTGAAAGTTGTAGAACTCAAAAAGTTATGTAATTTTATAGTTGACAACTTTTTTTATTTAAAGTCATCTTGTGAAGGAAAACTACGTTTAAATTTCACAAATTTGAAATTTGAATTTCTCAAACGACCTCGGAGGGAGGAACAACTAAAATAAAAGTTGTAGATCTCGAAAAATTATGCAACTTTGTAGTTGATAACTTTTTTATTTGAATTCGTTTAGGGTCTCAAACAATCAATTTAAACTTGGTTGAGGATGATACGAGGAGAAAGAAAATCCATTATAAACATAGGTGAGTGTGAGGTACAGTGGTTAGAGGAGTATCGTGCGAGGGGGAGGTCGCGGGTTAAAATCCTGCTGGCCACGAAGTGCGCGAAAAATGCCGTGACTTGTGAATTCAATGGAGCGGGCGGATGGTTGACTGGTGCGGACCTCCCGCATTATTTATTTTTTGCTATTTTTTTAGCCCGATTTGCAATTTTAAAAATCATTTGAAGTGGCGATTTTCTTAAGAAAACAGTCAGTGTAAATCATTTGTAGTAGCAGTTCTCTAGAAGATGCCTGTGAAGTTCACGATTTTTACTGGCCTTTGCCACTGATGGTACTGACGCTTATAGAAATAGTTTTGGAACCGCCGGTAGTGAGCTCTGCTCTACTAGTTACATGTTGCTGGCAGATTTGGAAACGTTGAAATGGAACGGTCTTCATAGATGAGACACTCACTCTCAGGCCTTGTTTAGTTGGCGTTTTTTTTTGAGAAATGGTACTGTAGCACTTTCGTTGTTATTTGGCAATTAGTGTCAAATCATAGTCTAATTAGGCTTAAAAGATTCGTCTCGTGAATTTTGTCTAAACTGTGTAATTAGTTTTATTTTTTATTTATATTTAATGCTTCATGCATGTGTCCAAAGATTCGATGTGACGAAAAATCTTAAAAAATTTTGCAAAATTTTAACTAAACAGGCACTCAGACATGCAAATCTCTTGTTCAGCTAAAGCAAAGCTGTGGAAGGCAAGGCTGCCACGGAGACAAAAGCCAATCATTAATGCCTGGTGTTGGCTGTTTCAGGACGCTATACAAATGACTTATGTACATTCTAGATCCTATCACTCCCTGTACGAAAAATCTAAAAACCATGTGGGCATTATTGTACTTTCAAGTATATTAGTTATTATGCAAGAAGCATGGCCAAATGTATAAAAAAAGCACTACAAAAAACAGTGGCTTTGCCGTGTGCCACAGGCACTCGGCAAAGCCCATAAAATACTCGGCAAACAGCACACGACATCTACAATGCCGGCAAACGTCTCTTTGCCGAGTGTTTTTATCGGGCACTCGGCAAATACTTTGCCAAGAGCTGAAACCGACGTTCGGCGAAAAAAGTAACGCGACGGCGCGGAGACGGTTACGGCGCGTTTGCCGAGTGTCCCGGACCTGACACTCGGCAAACCTGCCTTCTTTGCCGAGTGTCAAATCCCGAGCACTCGGCAAACCTGCCTTCTTTGCCGAGTGCCATTATTTTGCCGAGTATGATTTCTGCAGCACTCGACAAACAACTTTTTTTGCCGAGTGCCCGATAGAATGCACTAGATAAATATTTTGGCATTCGGCAAATCACCTGTTTCCAGTAGTGAAGGATTCAAAATGTACATTGGATATATAATATACTTGAAAGTTTGATAACGCCCACACAACACAAGGAAGAGGAATCGGAGGCAATCTCTAGCACACTCTATTGTGAGATAAAGGATTCCCTTGCACCTATATTGGCGTTCCAATTAATATCACGAATCCTACTAAAGTCGAATTGTACACACTAACTGACAAGGTGACTGATGACCTCTCACAGGTTGAAAAGCCTCTCTGATAAGTCTGGTTTGCCACCTCACCAAAGTTCTTCTTTTCTTGATGCAACATTACACAAACTTCTTTCCTTAATGCAACATTACACAACTCTTCTCCATGTCTAAGGGGAAAAAGGTTTCATTAAATTTGTAGAAAAATACACCAACATCTACAATATTAGATTAGTTCTATTAAATCCAACATTAATATGTATTGGTAGTGCCTTTATTTAGTATTGTAAATATTACTAATATATTATATTATATACATATGCTCCCTTGGTTTCAAATTGTAAGTCGTTCTGGCTTTTCTTTTTCTATGCACCTAGATATATATTATGTCTATATAGAAAAGTCAGAATGGTATACAATTTAGAACGGAGGGAGTACATATATATAATTAATAAAAAATTAGAAAAAACTGAGTTAGGTCAAAACTCAAATGACTTGGGCTACATGTACAATCGGTAGAAACAATTGGAAATACTCCCTCCGATGCCGTATTAGCTTTGTCCAAATTTAAACATTTCAAACTTCGACCATCAATTTTTTTTTCAAAATTGTACATGTTAATAATATTATTTATGTTTTTATGCTCCTATGACAAATGCGTTCATGATACGTAATTTACAAGTCATGAAACTACATGAATTTCTTAAAATTAATGGATAAAGATGAAGATATTTGACTTAAGACAAAGCTAAGATGACATTAAAAAAGGGATCTGTCTAGCCATCAACTGGTTGATTTAGTCCCTCCCATCAACTGAATTTTTTTTATGCACTTACACCATCTTGTAGCTATATTTACACCGCCTTATTACTATATTTACAATGATTTATTCAATGTAATTTATTGGACAGAGTGATGTAATTTGGGAATAATACAAGGTCTTAGATAAATATATGCCAATTTTTTTAAAAAAAATACAAATTTTTTCTATGGATTCCAGATACCAAAGAAATATATATCAAATTATTCACAAATATGGTCAAATTATTCACAAACTTACAAATTCACAAATGGAATAACAGAAACAGAGAATAGAAGTGGTAGCTCAAACCCCATTGCCCATGCAGTGCAAGTACGTCTAAAGACGACGATGAGTCACGCTTGCGTTACATACGGTACGGAGACCATTTTCTTTCACCGTCATTTCATACGTACTAACTGTAGCTCCTCTCTGCCTAGCTTGTTTTTGTTTACCTCGACATGACATGCCTAGCTAGCTCTACTGCCTGCTCGCCAAGGCACGCACGAGAGAGGCTCTGGCGTGTAGCTGTCCCGAGCTCTCTCTCTCTCTCCCTTGGCCAGTCGGAGGACAACATAAGAGTACAGGACAGAGGCAATGATAGGGCAGGAGCTACTCATTCCACTGCGCAGCTGGACACTATTCTGGGGAAAATCGGTTGATGGAAAGGCCTGAATCAACCGGTTGACTGGTAACCTTTCTGTAAAAAAGAAGAGAAGAAGTGGTGCGGTGGTGGTGCCGGGTGGGATGGGCGGATGGCTTAAGTGCCCAAGTTGCTGGTTAATTGCCCGAGAGGGAGGTAGAGAGATGATGAGATGGAGACGGCAGCAAAGAAGGCATGAGGAAAACAAGAATCCCCGCTTGCAACTTTGCAGAAAGCATTCATGCATGCACTGCGATCGTGGAGACCTTTGCTCATCAGTTGTCAAGTCCAGCTGAGTTGATCACCGGACAGACACACACAGATGGTGGATCGACAGATGATGATGCGTCGAGGGATGCATGGATGGACGGGACGGCCAACGCGCGCGACGCCGGCTTTGGTAGCTGCGGTTAGAAAAAAAAAGGTTAATGCGACAATTAGCGAGGGTCGTCATTTGCGTTTGTTTGCGCTTTACACGCAGAAGAAAAAGAAGAGAAACCGACGCTGCCTGCCGTGTCGAAACTGAAAGCCATCTCTCTCCTTTGTCCGCAAGCACCAACTTTTGGTTGCCGCCCGCTAGCCGCTCGCCCGCTCTGTGCTGGTTTTTGGTTCGTGGTGGCTGTGGCGCAGAACGGCAGAAACACCGCCGGTGCCTGCCTTGCCTTGTGTTTACTTTGCGTGGTTAATAAAACTGAAAAGATGCCACTTTTGGGGCGAGGAAAGGAAAGCAAGCAGCTTTGGAATTAGGCGGAGGCGGATCCGGACTGTGTAGTAGTCTGTAGTGGAGTCAGCTTTTGTTTGGTCAGTTGCGGCAGCATGCCATTTCCCCCATGGAAATCCTCTGATTCTTTCAGGTGCGGCCGCCGCTGCTGCATGGCCTCTCCCTGCACTGCGCCACTGTGCCTGTACCTAAACCTACTGAACGGAGCAGCAGTAAACTTTGCCCCCATGCACGTCCCTTTCGTTTTAGTTGAACTAGTTGGAAGTGGCGGTGGGCAACAGCAATAGAGCGAGCATGTCAGTGAGTCATCGTGCGTGGTCTGATGGTCCATGCCAATCACCTGACCCTGATCGATGAGCATGCGCTGCCGCTACCTGCTACTGCTGTGGGCCGGACGGACTTGGTGATGGTGCCGGATCCAATCTATGGCTCAATCAGTCCGTCAGTCAGTCAGTCATTAGAAGCAAGCGCGGTCAAGTCATCCTCTTTACAGTGCCCCCACTCCAGTGCAGCAAGTACACTGCTGCCCGAATCCGCATCGGGAGGAGCGGAGGAAGCGCCCGCCCGGGCCCACCCGTCACAGGCACCTACTCCTCCAGTCCTCCTCTGCTCGGCGTCCCTCTCCTGCGTGGGATTTGCTCGGCGCACCAAATTCCTCCCAGCACACCACTCAAAGCCGAGCCGAGCCAAAAGCCAGCCAGGGCGGCCAGCCAAATGCGAGTGGAACCCAAAGACGAAAAGGAAGCCAGCGGAAGCAGCGAAAAGCCCACGCCACCTTCCAATCCCCCCTCCTCCGCGTCCGTCTCTTTCCCCCATCTCTCGCCGGCCGCCAGCCATTGCGCTCCTGCATTGCGCCGGGACCGCGAGTCCTACCAGCCCAGCGCAGCGGTGGCGGCGGCGCGTGGAGAGGGCAAGGCCGGTCCAGCGGCGGCGTCCGACATGATGCTGCGGCGCGTGGCGTCGGCGCCCGAGCCCGACTGGCTGGAGGCGCTCCTGGCCACGCGCTTCTTCCTCGCCTGCGCCGCGCACCCGGCGTCCCCGCGCAACGAGTGCAACATGTTCTGCCTCGACTGCAGGGGCGCGCCGCCGCCGGCCTTCTGCTACTACTGCCGCGGGCACCGACACTCGTCCCACCGCGTCATCCAGGTAGCCTCCTTGGTCCGTGGCGTTTCTTCTTCTTCCCCTCACCTCCGCTCCCTCCTGTCGGCTGTTCGATTGGCAATGCGGCCGGCCGCGAGGATTAATCCGGCCTTTACTTTGCAGATACGGCGGTCCTCCTACCACGACGTCGTCCGCGTGTCCGAGGTGGAGGACGTGCTGGACATCTCCGGCGTGCAGACCTACGTCATCAACAGCGCCCGGGTGCTCTTCCTCAACGAGCGGCCCCAGCCGCGCGGCGCCGGCGCCGCCGCGGGCAAGGCCGCCGCCTCCCCCTACAACTGCGAGATCTGCGGCCGCGCGCTGCTCGACCCCTTCCGCTTCTGCTCCCTCGGATGCAAGGTCTTGCTTTGCTTCTTCTCCTTCTTCGTCTTTCTTTCTTTCTTGCGGTTGCCGATTGTTTGTTTGCTCCGCCCACCAACCCACCCGCCCTCCCGCATTATTCATCCATTCATTGAATTCCCCGATATAATGCCCCGCAAGAACACCAAAAGATTGCGCCTTTCTTGACGCACCGACGATTCTTGCATTCTTTCTTGGAAGAAAAAGAAACAAAGAAAGAAAAAATGGCATGGAAGAACGAATGAATGAGTGGCAATGCCAAGGAATTGGCGTCCGTTGGGTTCTGTTCGGTCACGTTTAATTCGCCGCCCTGCCTTACACCTGACTTTGCATTGCTTTTAATTCGCGCAGTTGGTGGACACCAAGAGGAGCAACGGCCACGCGGCGGCGGCGGACACTGACGGCGGCGGCGGGCGGCCAATGGCAATGACGAGGCGGCGGAGGCCGCCGGCGGGAGCAAGAACAGCGGCCCGGGGGCGCGGCCGCAGGGCCGGCGGCGGAAGGGGACCCCACACCGCGCGCCGTTCTGGTCCTGACCCACCGGCCACCGGCCGGCAACAGCTAGCAACGGATGGATCAATGGCGTCCGGAAGAGAGTTACTCCACTAGCGAGCATCAAGGCAATTAATGGAGGAAGAGATAGGGGACGGAATGGAGGGGACGATCGCCGTCTTTCCACCGCCCCGCCTGCTCGCCCGGCTTCTTCATTCGGTTCGGCTGTACTTATATATACTTAGAAAAAGAAAACAAAGAAGAAGAAGAAAAAGATACTGCATGCCCGCCCAACTAGAAAGGAAGGAAGGAAGATATATAGATAAATAGATAGAAAAGCTAGCAAGCTGAGCTCGGCAGCCGAATCCCCAACCACCGGAGGGAGGGAGGGAGCTGGAGCCGGCCCGGGGCCGCGCGCTCGCTGGACTGCAGTAAGCAACTTGTCTGTCCCCATCTCCCTCTCTCTCTCTTTCTTCACCATACCATGCCATGGCACCGTTTGGTACGGTAGGTGTGCATGACATGCCTGATCATCTCCTCTCCTCCTCCAAGTCATCAACTCATGATATTCATAGATGATGATGCTGTTAAACTTGAATTAGCAGGAAATGGATTTAATTCTTTTTACATTGGTTGGTTGACAGTGAGTATTACTGATGATCTTCTTTTTTTCCTACCACTCCTACATTATAGTAATGTACTACTCCTGCTGTTTGGTTTTCTCGGTGCACATTGCTTTGTCGATATATGTACAAAATTATGCCTCAGGCATTGTGGGTAGGAACTGAGAATGGAATTGAAAATGCTGAGAAAGCGAGGCCAGATATAGGTAGAGCCAGGCCAGAAGCCAGCCCGGGGTGTAGCAAGGAAGGAAGGGATTCCAAAGGAAAACGAATGATTGTCTTTTTGCTTGTCTGCTGCCTGCCTGCCTGCCCAGCTACTAGCTCTACTGGATGGAAGGTGCATGGTTAGTTTCAGCTTGCTAATTAGCTAATAAAGTAACAATGCTTGCTAGCTTTGCTAGGAGTATATATTGTTAAGTATTTAATTACTTGCTACCTCCTTGCAAATAAAGCTTGTTTTCTGATTTGTTTACGCGACTAATTAACATAACTTACACTCAACCTGTCGTTGTTGCCCAACAAAACCTTCTGTTTCGTCTGTTTCTCTTCTTCTCCCTCTCTCATTTTGGAGCAAATGTAATGTGCCTTTCTGGATGGGGTGGAATGGAGTAGCCAGCCAAGGGATACATATAGTTAGGGCTAATATAAATATTGGGCCTGCATTATTGGGTATGTGTAATGTGAGTAGTATCATATTTGTCTGCTTGTTTTCTGATGACTCAACCACATCCAATCAGAATCGGATTTGGATTAATTACTGGGCAAATGGTACTGGCACTACCATACCAGCAGGCCGGCCGGCCGGCCGGCAACAGTTAGTTGCTTACATTAACATTTTAGGTGGATTGATTAGGATTAGGATGTTTCCAGTTAAACTGACATGTCATATCATATTTGCACCTGTTATTATGCTAATGAGGTTGGTTGTTTTTTGAGAAAGATGAGGTTGGTTGTTGAGCACGCATAATTTGGAGAAGATACGAGTGATACTTATAGTAGTTGGGCTGGGTTAGCTCGGTTGGTGGGGCGGGCTTCTTGTTTGCCTCTCGCGTCGCATGCATTAGGTGTTCGTGTTGCCAACCGTCGCCCGCCACCCTAGCCTGGCGCCCCCACCACGTCCATGGCCCGCTAGTGGCCCCACTACCACCCGTGGCTAGTGGAGGCCCATCATTAATTCATTATTATGCAGGCCGCCAGCATTCGGACTAACAGTTGCCTTCCCCTTTATCATGATAAGGGCTGGGCCATTTGTAATTTGTGTACGTAAGTATGAGCAGCACACTCTCCATTGATGGCCCTGTTTGGATACTTTAGCACAGCTAGAGGTTAGAGTTAATTTCTAGCTCAGGACTAGCCTTGAACTAACTCTAGCCTAAGAGATGTTTGGATACAAAGATTAAAATGATAATAAATGTGCTTTCCGAATCATTGGTGCAGGTGAAAGTAGAGAGAAAACAGTAGACCCCACCTCAAATAGCCCCAACTAGCCTAAATAATCATCTCTTTGGAGGGATAGTTTTTTAGGGTGGGCTAGTTGCAAATAACCCACTCTAACCCTCCTGTTTGACTACTTTAGGGCTATTTGAGCTCCAACTAACCCAAACTAGTTCTAACCCATGGATCAAACAGGGCCGATGTCTTGACGATCAAGGTCATGCGAATTTGTCATCATCTGTCTATGGCAGTACTAATTAGGAGTAAGTGCTTTGGTGTGGTCCCCAGGTCCAACGTGCAATAATGCACGCATGATGAATGAATTCAACATCACATCATTGATGTGGATGCATGTGGTTCCTCTTTTCTCAGCTCATTCCCGCCGCTCGCCCATGGTCCAACTGCCATTTCCTTCGTGGCCCCCCCAGCCTCCCCCGTGGATTATCCGCCAATGTCTGTCTGGACTCTGGACTTTGTATAATTGATATTGAAAAAATAAATAGATAAACGTAGTGTTGACATGCATGCTGACTGTACATGTACAGTTGACCCACTCTGATTGTCAACCTTGCTTATGTTGGTACATTGCACCCAGCTTGTAGTTACTAATTCGAACGTTCGTGAACTTCACGAGATATGCATGTATGTATGTATGTACACATCAACGCATCAGGTACGTCATGCTTGGTTTATATTTATATAGAACCTGGCTAGCTAGATGCATGATAATGAATCAAATAATTATTGAGCAGGCGCTCCAGAATTATTATATGTACGTACATTTGTGGCGTTGATGGGTGCATCCGTCCCCATCGCGTAAAATATATGCATGCACAAGGTTTGTCAACCCCAACATCACAAACGAAACTACACCGGGAAGAACGACTGTCCTGCCCGGAATTATATATATTTTGCGATAGTCAAATGCTATCATAATTTAGCATTGAAATAATAATTGTCTGTTTCTGTCTTTTTTATTGCGTTTCGAGATCGATTAGTCCAATGTTGCTGACATAGCTAGCACTCGCTCGATCCTAATTCCAATCTTTGTTAATATATAAAATTCTAATGTGTTGGCTTCGGTTTGGTTCCTCACTCTACTTCTTATTATAAGGTGATGATGGCGAAGTAAAATTAGGTGTTTCCAAGAACACTTGGTGTTGGGATAAACTAGCGAGGTGACTCGGTACAAATATCACTACTATACATGTTAGTCCTTACAATCCATGGACCCCAAGGTCTGGTAGGGACAATAGAGTTAGATCGAACCAAGTCCATATCTAGTTATGCCAGGTCGAAGCATTTGTCAGCTTCAGCCATGTGATGTGACACAATTTTTAGGGTTGGATTCCTTGAAATTTTGTCACTTTCACCACTGCATGATCTGGTAGCTAGCACCGATCTATGAATGGTACAAGATGAACGAGGGACTTTGAACATGAAAAACAAATATATGACTTAGGTGAACTCATCAGCACCGAGGACGATAGGAAGTCTCCAATCTGCCTCCTCTCTTGTGACGAAAGTATGGATTCCTCTCTACGTAGATAACCTTATAGACTATTTGTCGGGATTATAATCCATGGGTGTCTCAAGACACTGATTAATTAGCAGACCGAGCGGCCTACGACACATCAGCTCACGAAGGCCCGAACGACTGAGGCCCAGTGAGCCAAGCAGAATAGGCCTGACGCCAATATCAGGATCGGCCGTGACCCCTCCTTCCGTCTTAGCCGCACGACGTCGCAAAGACCTATCCGCCATCCCGACCCCTGGGAGGAACGGGGAGAGGTCAAGCCAGCCAAACGTGCCCGCTTTGACAAGAGTAGGCATGCCACACTGACCCCGCAAGGACCGAGGGGAGTCCCCTCGGTCCGGTCAGACGCCACCCCTACGCCACGCAGCTCGGACAAGACAACACCATCCAAAGCGGTGACGGCCGATACGATGCCCACCGGCCAGATACGGCCCGACAAGACGTATGTACGATTCTACCCACTACGGGATGGGATCCACGACGAAGGCCTTGACCAAGAGGCCATCTGGACAGGCGGAGCCATGACCCCCAACACTCGGAATCGTGGCCATCAGCTCCACAAGCCAACCAGGTGATCGACGACCTAGTGGTGGCTACCAACTCCTGTACGACGCCCCAGGAAACCAGGAGGCGATGACGAAGACCACAGCGGAGACCGCGCCACATAGGATGGTTGGCGAACTACCACCGTGCCTACAGTGCCGCCACGGCTGGCATAGTGGCACCACGCCACACCTTACCGCGATGTGGGCGCAAGACCATGATGACAACCACGTCCAGACGTGCACCACAAGACGGCATAGCTTGCAAGCCAAGTTAGCTAGGCCCCTTCCTCAGGCTCACGACCCCTCGGTCGGGAGAACCTTCTTCTTTGTATCTGCCCTAGCCCCGAACTCTATATAAGAGCAACCAGGGCGCCATCTCCGGGGAACGGATTCACTCATTCTTACACCATAGAAGGGCTCCTGAAGCTTCCCTTCGAGCAGCTCGTCTTCTAGCTCTAGCTCTCCTACCTCTTCCACCGTTCTTGCACCCCCCATTGTAAGAACTTCAGAGCATTCGAGCGAGGAACATGCACTTGA